GAGAGAGAGAGAGAATTTTTAATATTTATCTTTTAGTTCTCGGCGGACACAACATCTTTGTTGGTATGTGGTGCTGAGGATCGAACCCGGGCCGCACGCATGCCAGGCGAGCGCGCTACCGCTGAGCCACATCTCCAGCCCCACAATTCAGACTTTTTGTTTGTTTTTTAGTATGTGGGATTGAACTTCGTGGCAATACCACTGAGCTCCATCCATCCTCTAGCCTTTTTTATCTTTTTATTTTGAAAAATTGTTTGGGAGCCTCACTAAATTGCTGAAGCTGGCCTGGAACTTAAGATCCTTCTGCTTCAGCCTCTGAGTTGCTGGGGAATTGTAGGCATGTACCATTGCACGCAGAATAATTCAAACTTTTTTATTTTGAAAATTACCATATCAGTTGAGGTAGGATAAAAAAAATAATTTTATGAGGATTTATATAATTTAATTGTCTAATCAGTTTAAACTTTAAATTTGTCATCTTAAATGCAGTGATATTAAATAGAAATTCCTGATTTTTAAAAAGCCATCATTTTCAGAAAGGAATTATTTTCCACAGATAGCTTATTTTGGTGATTCCTTGAAATCAGAGCTTTAGTACTATGTTAAGATGCTGTGTGATAATTTAATTAGCTGTACTTTAACGATGAGGGCTGAGCAGTGAAAATGTCTTTTTAAATTTGTGTTATGGTAATAATCCCTGAAGATTCATTCTTATAAATAGCTATCAATTACAATATGATTTAGAAATTGATACCCAAAGATTATATTACAGCTAGATATTGAAAGTTTTCTCTCTAAAGTTAATTTTACCCACCTGTGTATATATCTTTATCACAAAAGTAATTTAAGTCAGTAAAATGAAGTATGCAGTGCATACTGTTGTCAACAGTTTCTTGGGAAAATTTTAGAAAGTTTTCTATATCTATATGGGTTCAGGTATATTGAATATATATAAATAGATTGCTTAAACACTCTTATGCCTATTTAGGACCTAGAGATAAAATATTTCTGTGCATTCTTTGAGTTTTAGCTTTGTAGGGAGTGGTTAATTGGATGAATGTGAAAAATATTTGAGAGTATTATTTTTCTCTAACTGGATGTAATAGTATGGCAAGATTTGGGAGTTTTGAGGAACCATAGAGATATCTAGTTCAGCCTCACTTTATAGGCAGTAAACCAAAGCTTAGAGAGGTTAAGTGATTTGCTCAAGATCACACAGCTAGGGCTGGGTTATAGTTTATTTGGTAGAATGCTTGCCTCACATGCACAAGGCCCTGGGTTCGATCCTCAGTACCACAGGGGGGGAAAAAAAAAAAAGATCACACAGCTAGTAAATGACAGGTGGAAACGTCAATTTCCCCTCAAAAGTCTCTCTCTTATTTCCTCTCTTATAAATTTCAATTCTTTGTATTTATTTATTTATCAATTTATTTATTTATTTATTTTGGGTGCTAGGGATTGAATTATTTGGCATGGGTAGAAGAGAAAACTGTTTTTTTTTTTTTTTTGGTTCTTTTGTTTGTTTTTGTGGTACTTACAATTAAATCCAGGGACTCTTTACCACTGAGATATATCTCCAGTCCTTTTTATTTTTTATTTTGAAACAGGACCTTCCTACATTTCAGAGATTAGCCTCTAACTTACAGATCACATGCTAGCATCAGTGATAAGTCTGTCTGTCTGCAGGAATGGCAACAGCAGAACCCAGAAGCCAATGCATCCCCTTTTCCACACCAGGCAACAATAAGACCTTCTGTCTGCACTTGGGGTGCTAGCAGGCCCAGGATTTTCTTTTCTTTTTTTAATGTTTATCTTTTAGTTATAGGTGGATACAATATCATTATTTTATTTTTATGTGGTGCTGAGGATCAAACCCAGTGCCTAACACATGCTAGGTAAGCACTGTGTCTGAGCCAYAACCCCAGCCCCGAGGGTTTTCTTATCCTTACCCAAATAGCAGAAAGATCTAGGCCAAGCATCTCTCAAACTTCCATCCAGTGACAGAATGAAACCCAGAGGCAAAATGTGAACCAGGCCTGGAGTCTCCCAAGCCTTTACCAAATGGCAAAAGACAGCCTATATGCATGCTTCTCTACTCCCAGAAGTACGAGCAGTGATAGAATGGGAAACCTGGGAAGCCTATTGGCACTAGGAGATCAGAGAAAATACCAGGAAAAATGCCTTCTGTTATTACAGTCCCACATCTCTCACTCCCTTCAAAGACATCAGGTAGCCCAGGGAAGTACCTTTCATTCATTAGGCAGTACCAGCAGCAAGAATGCAGCTGGAGGGAGGCAGGGGTGGATAGGAAAGACACAGTAGAATGGATTGGACATAACTCTCTCGTAAATTCACATATGAAAACACAACCAGTATAACTCCACATCATGTACAACCACAAGAATGGGAAGTTACACTCTATGTATGTGTAATGTCAAAATACACTCTACTGTCATGTTAAAAAAAAAAAAGAATTTTATTTTTTTAAGTACATATCTTTTTTTATTGATTTTATTATTTTTTTTAAATACAGACAATAGTGGATTGCATTACAATCCTTATTACACATATAGAGCACCATTTTTCGCATCTCTGTATATAAAGAATTTTAGTTAGGTCAAGAAGAGCCAGAATAATACAACAGACCAGAATAAGACTTAGAAAACAATTGTCATTGAAACTACAGTACACTTAAGTAGAGACAACCTACACAGGTTAAATAAGTAACTACCTACTAAATAGACTTAAGTAGAACCAAGAAAGAGTCTCCTAACATAATGTCCAAAATGGCCAGGAAACAAAAAATTTAAAGTCATACTCTGAACCAGGAAAATTATAACTTGAATGAAAAAAGAAAATCAACTGATATCAATATTAGCACAAATCAGATGTTGGACTGGGGCAGTGGCACACACCTTTAATCCCAATGACTTGGGAAGCTGAKGCAGAAGGATTGCAAGTTTGAGGCCAGCCTCAGCAACTTAATGAAACCCTGTCTCAAAATTTAAAAAAAGTGAAAGGAACTAAGGGTGTAGCCTAGTGGTAAAGCTCCCTTGAGTTCAATCTTCAATATGACAACAACAACAAAAAAGTGTACTCAGTACTGGGGTTGTAGCTCAGTAGTAGAAGCAATGGCTTAGCATGTGTGAGGCACTAGGTTCAATCTTCAGCACCATGTAAAAAAATAAATAAATAAATAGCYGGACGCAGTGGCACATGCCCGTAATCCTAGCAGCTCCAGAGGCTGAGGCAGGAGGATCAAAGTTCAAAGCCAGCCCCAGCAAAGGCACTAAGCAATTCAGTGAGACCCTGTCTCTAAATAAAATACAAAATAGGTCTGGGGATGTGGCTTAGTGGCTGAGTGTCCCTGAGTTCAATCCCTGGTACCCACCTCCAGCCCCGCCCACTCGTGCAAAAAAAAGTAAACTCTCATTTTTCTCTTGGTTGCAGCAATGAAAACTACTGGATGTAACTTAGATAAGGTAAATATTCTTCCCAATGCCCTCATCACTCCACTTATTTCGAGCAGTATGATTAAGAGTGAAGATGTTACTCCAATGGAAGTAACAGCAGAAAAAAGATCTTCCCCTATTTTTAAGGTAAGTTATATTGACCAGTGCTCCAAATCTGAACCTTATAAAAACTGCTGTATTTCTTTTTTTTTCCTGTTTCTTTCATATTTGTTTTGCATTGCATATGATTAATAAAAATAACTAATTTTAAGCATTTTCACAATTAGGAACATTTTATGTTAATCTTTTTCCAGTCTTTTCTCATCACTGTCCATTCTTTTTTTTTTTTTCTTAATATTTATTTTTTAGTTGTAATTGGACACAACACCTTTATTTTACTTATTTTTATGTGGTGCTGAGGATTGAACCCTGGGCCTCGAACGTGCTGGGCAAGCACTCTACCRCTGAGCCACAATCCAGCACTCCCCTTTCCTTTTTCACTTGTTTTTTCCTACTATATGATGTCACTGAAGATCCACAAAATTGAGGCATTTTGAAGTCTGCCCTTTGTGAACCGTAGAATTAATGTTCCCTTGTTATCCTTTATTTGTCTGAGCATATCAACAGCTAATTATTATTCTACTTCTTTGACTGTCTTAATTTATAGTACTTTAAAATCATACCCCATGTTATCGTGGAGAGTCCATTGTCTTATACCTGTTTTATAAATGGTAATTCAGAAAATTGGTCCTACTTACATTTTTAGAATAGTAATTATTTTTAAGTATCATATGCTTGTTTAATGTATATATAAACATTATTTGGGATTTTTATTTTTTAGACTACAAAGACAGTTGGATCAACTCAGCAAACTTTAGAAAACATCTCTAACATAGCAGGAAATGGGTCCTTTTCATCACCATCATCTTCTCACTTACCCTCTGAAAATGAAAAGCAGCAGCTTCAACCCAAGGCATACAACCCAGAGAGCCTGACAACTATCCAAACACAGGACATCTCACAGCCTGGGACCTTTCCAGCAGTTTCTGCAACTAGTCAGTTGCCCAGCAGTGATGCACTACTACAGCAGGCTACGCAATTTCAAACAAGAGAAACTCAGTCTAGAGAAGTATTACAGTCAGATGGTACAGTAGTTAATTTGTCACAACTCACTGAGGGGTCACAGCAACAGCAGCAGTCACCACTGCAAGAACAAGCACAGACTTTACAGCAGCAGATTTCATCAAATATTTTTCCATCACCAAATAGTGTGAGTCAGCTACAGAATACTATTCAGCAGTTGCAAGCAGGAAGTTTTACAGGAAGTACTACTAGTGGCAGCAGTGGAAGTGTTGACTTGGTCCAACAAGTTTTAGAGGCACAACAACAGTTATCTTCAGTTTTATTTTCAGCTCCAGATGGTAATGAGAATGTTCAAGAACAACTTAGTGCAGACATTTTTCAACAAGTCAGTCAAATTCAAAATAGTGTAAGCCCTGGCATGTTTGCCTCAACCGAGTCCGCAGTCCACACCAGACCAGATAATTTAATACCTGGAAGAGCTGAAAGTGTTCATCCACAGACTGAAAACACATTGTCAAATCAACAACAGCAACAACAGCAACAACAAGTGATGGAATCATCAGCTGCAATGGTTATGGAGATGCAGCAGAGTATTTGCCAGGCAGCTGCCCAAATTCAGTCAGAGTTATTCCCTTCAACAGCTTCAGCAAATGGAAACCTTCAACAGTCACCAGTTTACCAGCAGCCTTCTCATATGATGAGTGCACTACCTACCAATGAGGACATGCAAATGCAATGTGAATTGTTTTCTTCGCCTCCTGCAGTTTCTGGAAATGAAACATCTACAACCACCACACAGCAGGTTGCAACCCCTGGCACTACCATGTTTCAGACATCAAGTTCAGGAGATGGTGAAGAAACTGGAGCACAAACAAAACAGATTCAGAACAGTGTCTTTCAGACCATGGTCCAAATGCAACATAGCGGGGACAATCAACCTCAAGTTAACCTTTTTTCATCAACAAAAAGTATGATGAGTGTTCAGAATAGTAGTACCCAGCAACAAGGTAATGGTTTATTCCAGCAAGGGAGTGAGATGATGTCACTTCAGTCTGGGAATTTTCTGCAGCAGTCTTCTCATTCACAGGCTCAACTTTTTCATCCTCAGAATCCTATTGGTGATGCTCAAAACCTTTCCCAGGAAACTCAAGGTTCTATTTTTCATAGTCCAAATCCTATTGTCCACAGTCAAACTTCTACAACTTCCTCTGAACAAATGCAGTCTCCAATGTTTCACTCTCAGAGTACCATCGCTGTGTTACAGGGTTCTTCAGTTGCACAAGACCAGCAGCCACCCAACATATTTCTTTCCCAAAGTTCTATGAATAATCTTCAGTCTAACACAGTATCCCAAGAAGAGCAGATTTCATTTTTTGCAGCACAGAACTCAATTTCTCCACTTCAGTCAACATCAAACACTGAACAGCAAGCTGCTTTCCAACAGCAGGCTTCAATATCACATATCCAGACCCCTATGCTATCCCAAGAACAGGCACAACCTTCCCAGCAAGGTTTATTTCAGCCTCAGGTGTCCTTGGGCTCCCTTCCACCTAATCCAATGCCTCAAAATCAACAAGGAGCAATTTTCCAGTCACAGCACTCAATAGTTGCCATGCAGAATAACTCTTCATCCCAGGAGCAGCAGCAGCAGCAGCAGCAGCAGCAGCARCAACAGCAACAGCAGCAGCAACAGCAGCAGAGCATTTTATTCAGTAATCAGAATACTATGGCTACGATAGCATCTCAAAAGCAACCACCACCAAACATGATATTCAGCCCAAATCAAAATCCAATGGCTAGTCAAGAGCAACAGAGTCAGTCAATTTTTCACCAACAAAGTAATATGGCCCCAATGAATCAAGAACAGCAACCCATGCAATTTCAGAATCAGCCCACAGTTTCCTCACTTCAGAACCCAGGTCCTAACCAATCTGAGTCATCACAGACTTCCTTATTCCATAGCTCTCCTCAGATTCAGTTGGTACAAGGGTCACCTAGTTCTCAAGAGCAGCAAGTAACACTCTTCCTCTCTCCAGCATCCATGTCTGCACTGCAGACCAGTATAAATCAACAAGAAATGCAACAGTCTCCTCTTTATTCCCCTCAGAACAACATGCCTGGAATCCAAGGAGCCACATCTTCACCTCAGTCACAAGCTACTTTATTTCACAATACTGCAGGAGGTACAATGAACCAACTACAGAATTCTCCTGGCTCATCTCAGCAGACTTCAGGAATGTTCCTGTTTGGCATTCAGAATAGTAAGAAACTTTTCTACTTTTTTATTATTCAATTGAAATGGTCAAATGATTATTTTAGTATTAGAAGGAAGCAAAATGCAGTCTTTTTTTTTTTTTAAAGAGAGAGTAAGGAGAGAGAGAGAGAAAATCCTCAATATTTATTTATTTATTTTTTAGTTCTCGGCGGACACAACATCCTTGTTGGTATGTGGTGCTGAGGATCGAACCCGGGCCGCATGCATTCCAGGCGAGCGCGCTACCGCTTGAGCCACATCCCCAGCCCCAATGCAGTCGTTTTAAAAGTACAGATTTTACTTAGAATTCTACCAATTAGCTTGGCACAGTGGTGCATGCCTGTAATCCCAACAACTCTAGAAGCTAAAGCAGGAGAATTGCAAGTTGAAGGCCAGCTCTGGCAACTTAGCAAGACTCTATCTCAAAATAATAAAAAGAAGAGAGAGAGAACTCTGATAAAGTGCCCCTGGCGGGGCTGGAGTTGTGGCTCAGCRGTAGAGCAATYGCCTAGCACGTGTGAGGTGCTGGGATCTATCCTCAGCACCACATAGCAATAAATAAAATAAAGGCATTGTGTCCGACTACAACAACAACAAAAAAAATATTAAAAAAAAAAATGCCCCTGGGTTTCATCCTCAGTACTGGGGTAAAAAACAAAATTCTACCAATTAAAGATAGTGAGATTGTGGACAAATTTTATGGGCCTTAATTTCTACATCCAAAACAGTGATAATATTACTTGCTTGACAAGGGTATTGAGAGAATTAAATGTGGTAATATATTAAAATGTATGTTTGACATTTCAAGTTATAACCTTGAAAGGAAAATAAGGTAAGAATGATGGATAATATCTCAGTCAAGCCAGACAGAGTGGGACCCACCTGCAATCTAGCTTTTATACTGCAGAGAGGAAACCTAAGAAAAATTCCAGTACCATTCTGCGAAAACCTTTTTCTTAGATTGTTAGGTGCCTCATTTTTAGTAATATACTGGGTGAACACAGTAATGAATTTCTCTTAACTAATAAATATTTTCTCATGAACCTTAACTAATCAGGTAGCTTCTGTTTTTAATGTTTCTGCAGACTGTAGTCAGCTTTTAACCTCTGGACCAGCTACATTGCCAGATCAGTTGATGGCCATAAGTCAGCCAGGCCAACCACAAAACGAGGGACAGTCACCTGTGACAACACTTCTTTCTCAGCAAATGCCAGAGAGTTCTCCGCTGGCATCTTCTATGAACACCAACCAGAACATCGAAAAGATTGATTTGCTTGTTTCATTACAAAACCAAGGGAACAACTTGACTGGCTCCTTTTAACTGGATATGTAAGTATTGTATATTGGCATCTTACTGAAAAATATTGATTAATAACTTATTTTCTCAACAGATTTGATTTAAGTAATAGCACTGCTTAGACTTGAAATCTTTTTTTAAATATGACTTTTCCAAGATAGTACTTTTTTTTTGTACTAGGTATTGAACCCAGCACTAAATGACAATCCTCAGTGTACCCCCCCCCACACACACCCCTTTTTTTGAGATAGGGTCTCACCAAGTTGCTTAGGACCTTGCTAAGTTGCTGAGGCTGGCTTTGAACTCGTGATCTTCCTGCTTCAGCCTTCCAAGCTGCTGTGATTCCAGGTGTGCACCTTCTGTGCCTGGCTGATGGCACTTTTTTTTTTTTTTTTTTTTTTARAGAGAGAGWGAGAGRGGAGAGAGAGAGAGAGAGAGAGAGAGAGAGAGAGAGAGAGAATTTTTAATATTTATTTTTTAGTTCTCKGCGGACAYAACATCTTTGTTGGTATGTGGTGCTGAGGATCGAACCCGGGCCGAATGCATGCCAGGCGAGCACGCTACCGCTTTAGCCACATCCCCAGCCCGATGGCACTTTTTTTATATGGCCCCAATGAATCAAGAACAGCAACCCATGCAATTTGAATGGTAGTTTATGGTTATATTGTTAATATTGGGCATTCCTTTTATCTCTAAGTTTCTTTACCTTGGGATGACAAAATATCTAATGAATGAAAATTGTATTTCCCTTTTATTATATATTGAATATGRTCATGTCTCATTTCTCCTTTCTTCAAAAAATATTAAGAGCTGGGGATATAGCTCAGTTAGTAGAGTGCTTTCCTCGCATGCACAGGCCCTGGGTTCAGTCTTCAGCACTGAAAAAAAAAAAACTGAGTTACAGATATTTGTTGAAGAACAAATATTATAAAGATTCATTTATAATACTGTAATTCACTTTGGAATCATTCCCAGTGACACTTCATAAATATTTTCCTTTGCTAGTGAGGTAATAAAATTTCTTTTTCTTTTTTAGATATTCCATGAAGATTACCGTGATTCCAAGATGTCCTGCAAACTTGTAGTTTTATGAAGATTACTAAAACAAAACAATATGAAAAATTGTACTTGAGTAAATGGATAGATTTTACTCTGACTGCAAAAGAGCACACCTGTGCTACCTGTTGCAGTGATTAGCCATCAATGTTAACATCTTATTTTTTATTCCTGATAACAATGATGACTGAGAATCTATTTGAGTTTCCAGCTGACAGAATTGTTATTTTCCTAGTTGTAATTTCTCTTAAAAGAGTACAATTTAAATTCAAGACTGGACCACTCAGTTATTATTGCTATTAGGAAATAATAATTGTCATGTTTACTTTTATTCTTCATTATTTTCTTTCCTGCATTATTTTAGTGAAGTAATGGCTTATAAAAAAGTAAAATTCAATAATAATAAAGGCTGTGATTTTTTTCAGTATGAAAAGCACAGCCGTTGGCCAAAGTGAAGAAATCTTTTTCAGTTTTTATGGAGAAACTGAAGGGGTAACATTCTGACAAGTGAGCTGAAATAAAAATTCTACAGACTTGATTAAATGCAAAGGCAGATAACACACAAAAATGGAAACAGCTGGAATGCTATTGGTTTTATTTTTCAAAGAGTTGTTAGTTCTCTGTGTTTCCACTAAGGGGTTTAGCCATAACTGTATAGAAAAATCATTATTTTGCTCTGTGAGAAATGAAGGGGGTAATACATGGTAAATTATATTCTAATATCCTCCTACAGGAGTTTAAACTGACAGAGTCATCTGAGTCTGTTTCTTCTTAATCCAGTCTTTGGCTGGTATTTCCTTTTTATATGCATCTGTATTATTTTCCACCTCATTTTTCACTTTATTTTAATAACTGTTAATACACTACTGGCTTTGTGACCCTGTAGCAACTTAAAGGAAAAGGCCATTTTGATTCAGGGTGACCTAGCAATCCTGCAGCACAGGGCAAGGAGTCCTCTTTTAGGAATTATTGGAAGTTGATTCCTGAGAAAACAATGTATTTTTTTTTCCATGAACGGTGCTGTTCTGAAGTCTTTAAAATTTTCCTTCTAATAGAAAACAGAATAAATTTTCATTTACAAAAAAAAAAGGCAAACTAAAATTTCTTGAAACGTTACTTCTCCCTGAGCTGCAGTGAGTATAATTCACTTGTCACCTCAGTGCTTTATAGTTTGAAATGGTCACTTACCTGATGGTTCCCACAAGCCTTAGGCTTTACAGGGTCATATCATTGACTTAAAGTGAAGAATTAACTCGTGTTACATCTATAAAGAGCAAAATAACACACTCCAGAACTTGCAGTTGTAGCATTAGTTACACAGTTTTGGGTGTTCTTGCCACCCATGGGATGCCTGCTTCTACCACCTGTGTCTGGACACCTGCTTATGTCTCATCTTCCTTTTGGCTTGTGGAAAGCTGTCAATGCAGTGTAAGGCCAACGTGTGTGTGGCTTCTGTGTGTTGATATCCTTGTCCCTTTCTTTTAAGTGTAAAAAAAAAAAATAGCCTGTTAATTGTTGTTAAAGGCTACTTTTCTGTTCTTTTTCTATCCTATATATTTAGTTGAACTGTGGAATCATGGTGTTTGGTTTTGTTTATACAGCCAAATATAACCTTTTCATGATGGTCTTTTGTTCTTTGAATGTGCTCTTCTAATTTGTTTTTTTCTGTTATTGTCATATATTCTTTCTTCTACCCCAAACCCTTTCTTTCTTTCTCTTCTCTCTCTGATTGAGAGGCATTGAATTACGTTTTCAGTAGTACAGGCTTCTTGCCGATATGAAGGGAACTTTTCAGAAAGAGACCTACTCTGGGTCATTTAATTTTGAATACAGTTTTCAATCGTTCAAGTTTTGGATGGTTTATATCTAATGTGTGTTTCATTTTTTTGGAAAGCTATATTTTGTATTTAGGAAATGGTATACTATTTTGCTATTTGTACTGAGTGAGTACATTGGCATAAATATAGAAATTTATATATATACATATATATAAACTATTCTTTTTTTGCCACACATTTTTGTGGTAAATTTGTGAGTTTGTCTGATGTTCTACCACAACGTGGCGTCTGATAACAGTGAGGGGGGGTGGGTTTGTTATGTCTTTATTGAGATATTTAAGTACCTTTTGAAACAAATGACCTGTTCATCTGTAGCCATTCCATCAGGCAGTTCCTTGATGTTATTAGTGGGCTAAAGGCAGCTAGCTTACTGTGTGTTTGCTGGATCTCAGCAAAATGTTAAAGAGTAAGGAAACCTATTGAGGCAGTTGTGTCAAATGGTGTTTCATAAGAATGAGCCATTCAGTCTTTGCTCACTATATATTTAATATTTTATTATTGTTGTTATTGTTATTATTAATTGGCTTTCTGTATTCTATGCCTTTTATTTATAAAAACACTAAAAAAATTATGTTTGTAATTTTAATAACATTTTCCCCATCTTGTAATATCCAGAGCTACTTTATAAATTCTCTGAACCAAAAGTATTTTCTTCAATATATCTCTTTCCCCAGGTCCCTATCAGGAGTAAATCACCAAATATAGTTCAGGTTGTGAGAAGGATCAACCACACAATCCAGTGCTTGTTTTAAAATGTAAAACTCTAACCCTAGAGAATAATGTCAGAGAAAACAAACCCAGAGGTATTAAAAGAATAAATAGAAAAATAGTAGTAGTAGAAATTTTTAAAAAATGTTTACTTCTCAATAGTGTGGGGTTTTTTTTTTTCTGATATCATATAGGAGACTTAGGAAGTCTATTTGTTCACCAAGTTCCCATTAGAATGTTGTTAATACTGTACCATGGCTAAAGTTGTGGCAAGAAGACTGGCTTGTGTGGTGACTTCAGTCTGTTCTGTGGTTTAGCAAGGGGTTTTATTCTTATGCTGATTGGCAATGCCAAGTCACTGGGACCAATTTTCTGTTTTGTAATATCTAAGTTTAGAACAGAACATAAACCTGAACTGTAGTGGTTTGATTGGATGAAGGCAGAAACCCCAATTTTTATTCTCATAAATCTTGTGGTTATTTATACAAGGGCTGTGCTATGCTACCATATTCTTAATCAATAATGATAGTTTTGTTTTGTTTTGTTTTTTATATTGTTAAATGTTCCTTACCCCGAAAGGTCAATGTTAAGTACAACATTCTGAATATATGATTTGGTTACAAAGAGTATTTGTCTTTATTGAAGAGTTAGCTCAGTGGTTGATATGTGTGCTAATTACTGTTTCCAAATTACTGTTACAAATTAGAGCTACACATGAGGGAGACTCAGTAAGCCAGCTAACACCTTGGAAACAACAATTTATTAAATTTATTTATGGCAGAAGGACCTAAATAAACTGTGAACCACATTTTATTTCTTTGTATTGGTACATTGAATTGTTCTTGCTTTTAGCAATTCACATAAATGCTTGGAGCTTATCTCTCTCTCTCTCTCTCTCTCTCTCTCTCTCTCTCTCTGTGTGTGTGTGTGTGTGTGTGTTTGTGTGTGTATTTAATTCCTTATTACCATTCCATTATATATCCAAACCAATGGGAAAAAAATAGTTAATAGTTATACTTTGCTTCTGAGCTTTATCATTATTACCTTTGTGATTAGAGTATCATGCTATTTAGTCAGTGCAAGTCTATTGTCTCTATAGAACAGGTTTTTAAAGGGCTTTGTTTATTATAGAGGGATCATCCTTCTCTCCTTCCATCCTTTCTTCCTTTCTTTTCTTTTTTGTAATAACATATGTGCTATATAGTCTACAGTTTCATTACAGTGTATTTCTTACCCATCAAAACCTTGGCTAATCAACCTTGGAAAAAATACTATCAAAGGAAATGAGGAAGAAATTGTATCTGTGTCCCTCCAGAACTACTATAATTATTCTTTTTTATTTTTTCAGCCATTATAAATGGTTTGTTTTGGAAAACTGAAATCTGTTAGATGCATCAACATATAAGTTCAGAATAAAAGATTTAATAATTAAATTCTTAAATTCAGCATTGTTATAAATATTTACTAGGAGTGATCTGTGAAATTTTTGTTTTTCTGGTGAAAATTTCTGTTCTCATATCTACTTCCTAGTTGAAAATTACATGAGACCTGTTACCCTTATTTTGTATCTTGAACATAGGTTTCATCCTAATGGCCATCTTATCTGTAGGCTTTTGGTTATTTGGAAGAACTCAGTAAAAGCAAGTGTGTGTAATTCAGCAGATACATTAGAAACTAACTCAGAGCTGAGGTTGTAACCCAGTGGTAGCAGGTAAGAGACCCTGGATTTGATCCCCAGCATCATAAAAAAAAAAAAAAGAACTCAGAGTATATACCCTAGTAAGAGGAATAGTAGACTCTCATAACATATTCAGAAGAGGTTTTCCCTTCTGTCTGTCTGTGACATTAGAGCTAAATTGATTATAATGTTCATAACACAGTATATATCAAAATAATTTGTATCATTCATGAGTTGTCTCAGTACTCCAGTTATTTTTCGAATCTCTTTATTTCWTGCCATTCTAAACCTTATTTATTGATAAAATTATGTTTTTACTTACTATTACAGGATATTTTTACATTAATATTTTATATCTAGATTAAATGTTTATGGAAAAGTGCCTTTTTACCTTAAGAGTGCCCCTTTCTTGTAATAGTATTTTTCCTTTGCCACAACCATGTAAAAACCTGACTTTAATAGGTTCCAACTTTCACTTTTTCCATTTAGCCATTCTTTCCTCCATTTTTTGACCACCATAGAAAACAACTTCATAAATTCCTTTGGCTTAAGAATAGCAGAAAAAATGGCATTACTAGAATTGATCTTTTAGGGAGAATAAATGAAAGATGACAGAATTATACTCTTTAGGCTTATATAAATTAACTGTAGCACCCCTGGGTCCGTCCAATCCCCAGTAACAACAACAAATATATATCTTCCTTCTTCATCTCAATCAACTGATGATAGTTCTTATCAGAAAACTAATGAAATTTTGTATATAGTTAAATTTCAAGAAGGAACTATTTAAACATCTTTTCCTATCTTAATTAGATGATGAAATAAAATCACTAAAACAGAGGTTGGGTAATGTCAATGTTCTTAACTAAGCAGCAAAGAAGTTTACTTCTTGCCCATTAGAACCTCAGTTAATTTGCTTAAGTAAATTATAATGTCAGAAGAAATTAATATATTGAGTTCCTTCAGACCTAAGATGATAATTTCCTTCCTACAAGATACACTTGGAGTGTCCTGGTTTTGTTAATTTTACTTCTGTTTCAGCTCCTTACCATGGGGTGGTGCTTGAAGAAAGGGCCACAAGCAACAGGTCAGGACAGAAGTACCTTTGGAGTAGAGCTGCTTTCCCCATGCAGGTAATTTTGTGACTGTTAGTGGCACTGAAGACTGCAAACCTTTATGCAGTATTCTTAATGCCCTATTGACATAATGCACTTTAATCATTCCAAAGAAGCCAAGAATGCTACATAGTAATGATTCCTTCTTTATGAATACATCTTTAACTATTTAGAATACTCTGTCCCTTTTTATTTTGGATAGCTGACTTGGTATAAGTATTGTGGATATTTTCTAAATTGACTTTATAGTAGGTTTTAAGATTTTGAAATGTAACTATAAGGAGAAATTACTATACTTTAGCACATCATTTTAATCTATATATTTGAGAGTTAAATAAAACTAAAACTAACCCCCTTCCTGTATATTTTGTGTCATGTATATAGGAACATTTTAGTGTATAGTTTTCTATAAGTATAGTTTATGTAAACCAGTGGTTCTCAAAATATAGTCCTCAGCCCACCAGCTAGCATCAGTATCAGCTGGAAGCTAGTTATCCCAGACATACTGAATCAGGAATTCTGGAATGAAGCCCAGCAGTAACAAGCTTGCCTAATGATTCTGATGCATACTGAAGTTTGAGAATCAGTGGAAAAAAYGATATCTAGTGAGAGCAAGAAAGTTTATTTTCCCACTAATAAAGTTATACATTATTATTATTTATGTAAATTCAGCCTAACATGGTTACCTATAATCATTTATTGGCAATGATAATTCTTAGTTGCCTATAAAATACACATTTTATGTACATATGCARTTAGTGTAGTAATTGATAATTCGGTTAACTTAGTTTGGCATTTTCCTACCACTTACCACAAAGTTTACATTAAATGACTGATTTAAATATATAGGTGCGGTGTTCTATATTTCTTTTTAATTGTTATGACATTTAAGTAGCTAAAATAATTGATGGGTGCTAAAGTCTTCTGTTTATCCATAAAATGGGTACATTGTGGGCAGTGTAATACAAACTTTATTTTCATTGCCTCTTACTTTTACCAGCAGACCACAATTTTGCTCTGGCTAGACCAACTTTCAGAACAAAATTATCATTCCTTGTTATTATATTTGTATCTGAGATAGTAAGTAAGATGGCTRGCCAGATCAACATAGCACCTTATGTAACTTGTAATAAGTAAAACTTCTTTAAAAGTAGCTTGCTTGGTATAAGAATATTACATTAAAG